AACTAAAAGAGTCAGTACTGCCAGCAAAAACCATACTAGTGGCATGCCATCCAAACTCATTGTGATCCCAATTGACTCTTTAAACATCAAGTATAACACTTCATAAATAAAACCAAAGTGAAACAAAATTGGGATCTGAAATATTTGCCAATATTATAAATTGAAATTTCAAACTTTATTATTTTATTAACTTGCTTGATAAATTACAAAAGAATTGTATCAGGAACATCCATTAATATATTTCCATTACACTCATCCCAACCAATATGGCACACATTCTTATTTACTATTTTTAAATTGCCATTAGAAGATCAAAACTTCTTTCCAAATTTCAACTGGCCTGGGAAGTAAACATCAGTTAAAAATCATTAATAAAACCACAAAAAACAAAATAAGAGAGATGCAAATGAAACACTCTGTAAAACATGTGTGTCAATTTGGATTGGTCCAGCATGGCCTGTCAATTTCCTTGATGTTTGCATCAGGAAATTGACAGGCCATGCTGGACCAATCTGTAACCCATCTATAATCATATACATCAACACTTCATTACCACCCAAGAAAGCCATCTAGATGATTCCAACACTCAGATTTGTGCAACAGTATATTGAACAGTATAGGTAAGTATTAAGATGTTTTATTTTTTACTGTTTCCCAGAAGATGGGTCTAATAAGAACAATGACATCTTTGACTTTTGTACCTGACTATCTATCTAAAATTAAATAAAATTCTTTCATAATAAATTCATCAGTATTCCCTATTCATAGCATATGTCACCATTTACATGTGAAATGGTTTTCCTGTTTCTAACTATTTAGTTGTTTCTGAGCTTTGAATTAGATGATCTGTGGTGTACTTGCCATCACATGCCTTGCAATGTAAATATAATTTGCACTTACTTTTTTTATTTATTCTTTACATGTATTTGAAAGAGTTGCTTACTTTTTGCATTTCCATTGCATTAATATCTTTACTTAACAATGCTTTTAAATTTATTTTTAAATTTAAATTTTATATTTTAAATATATTTTTAAACAAATAACTAACATATTTTACTCTCCAGCAATTAAAAACATTGCTAAATTAAATGATATTATTGATGTTTTAAAATTCAGTTAATACTATTGATATCCCTAGTTTTTAGTTTTAAATGTTTTATAAAATATTTTGCAACTGTACACAAAGCATCTACAATTAACAAGTTTTATAAAATTCTTGTTAAAAACATTCTGGAATTCTAAATAGATAAAGTTCTGAAAAATTTTATATACTAACTGTAAAAAGAAAACATAACTAGAAAGTAAAAGATATTGTATTTTCATTAACATGCCAAACTTCAAATAAGACATTAAATCTGCTTTATTGGTGTTAAAAAGTAAAGATGTTATGATACTAAATTCTTCTAATACAATCTGATGCTGATAATTTTCCATCTGATCTTATCCAATACTTGCGTCTATCCATACTCTCTACTTACAGGTGTAAGTTATAAATGAGCCTGAAAACTCATTGGTGTAAAAATATTCACTAATAATTTAAATTCAAATATAAAAAAAAATAAAATTTTACAAATTGACTTATGAGCACCTTTCAGATCCAGGCCCTAGTTTGCCTAGTGTTTAGAAAAAAATTCAAACACACCTTGAATAAATTTATAATAGTATAGAAAAATTGCCAGATTAAAAATAATCATTGTTAAATCTTGCTTGAATATATTGTCAAAACAGGAAAGATAAAAGCACATTTGTTATTATTTACAATTATCCTTGTTGAATTTTTATGAACCGTAAAATTGATTCTGTGTGATAGGGAATAATTACCAGTCCTAGCAACATTTCTTGAACATTATCCATTCATTGCTACTACACATTACATGACTATCACTGGCAAATCATGCAATGAGGGGACACACTGTCTATCATGGGTTAGTTTCATAGCATGATATGTCCATTACTGTGTTCAAATGTCTGCCTTGGCAGAATGATGTGAAAGATGCATATTGAAAAAATTGAAGTATTGGTTTGCAAAACAAACTGATTCTGATATATTGGGAACATTCCAACATGCCAATATATCAGCAATGGCTTTCTTGGTAGTGGTACATCTCTATTAAAAAGTGAAACAAATGATCATTCTCAAATACTTTTAGAGTTTTTCAGTCTATCACAGAGAAATTCATAAAGCAGAATGTTTTAAAAAAACGAGAGAGATGGCCTGGGACACCTCCTAGTGTGCATTCTAGGCATTCCACGACAGATTATAGATATACAAACAGTTGGATTAACAGCTTATATATATGATGATTCATTTGTTTTACATTTATATATGATGATTCGTTTGTTTTACTTACATATATGACGATTCGTTTGTTTTACATCTTTAGTCTCCATTCTCAGTCATTTTTAGTCTCTCATCCTCTGATGAGAGACTAAAGATGTCTGAAAGTTCTTGGAAACTAATTCCAATAAAGTAGATTTCGTATGTTAAAAATTACTATAATTTTAAAATCAAATTATGATTATAGAAAATAAGAAATAATCTATATTCAGCAATTTTGTCGTAATATACAGTTATAATTAAACTATATTTGTACTATTAGAAAATGCTATCATTTTGAATAAAATTATTACATTTAAAAACTTACAACTGGGTTGAATAGAAGTCTTTTGGTCCTTCATTCCTAATCAGAAAAATAAATTTCTAATTATTTTGTTTCATTGGACATTAAATAATTAATAATAGAAATAATTTTATCATAAAATTTGTATTTATTAAATTTAAAATATCTCATATATAACTATCAAANGTGTCAATTTGGATTGGTCCAGCATGGCCTGTCAATTTCCTTGATGTTTGCATCAGGAAATTGACAGGCCATGCTGGACCAATCTGTAACCCATCTATAATCATATACATCAACACTTCATTACCACCCAAGAAAGCCATCTAGATGATTCCAACACTCAGATTTGTGCAACAGTATATTGAACAGTATAGGTAAGTATTAAGATGTTTTATTTTTTACTGTTTCCCAGAAGATGGGTCTAATAAGAACAATGACATCTTTGACTTTTGTACCTGACTATCTATCTAAAATTAAATAAAATTCTTTCATAATAAATTCATCAGTATTCCCTATTCATAGCATATGTCACCATTTACATGTGAAATGGTTTTCCTGTTTCTAACTATTTAGTTGTTTCTGAGCTTTGAATTAGATGACATGGTATCTGTGGTGTACTTGCCATCACATGCCTTGCAATGTAAATATAATTTGCACTTACTTTTTTTATTTATTCTTTACATGTATTTGAAAGAGTTGCTTACTTTTTGCATTTCCATTGCATTAATATCTTTACTTAACAATGCTTTTAAATTTATTTTTAAATTTAAATTTTATATTTTAAATATATTTTTAAACAAATAACTAACATATTTTACTCTCCAGCAATTAAAAACATTGCTAAATTAAATGATATTATTGATGTTTTAAAATTCAGTTAATACTATTGATATCCCTAGTTTTTAGTTTTAAATGTTTTATAAAATATTTTGCAACTGTACACAAAGCATCTACAATTAACAAGTTTTATAAAATTCTTGTTAAAAACATTCTGGAATTCTAAATAGATAAAGTTCTGAAAAATTTTATATACTAACTGTAAAAAGAAAACATAACTAGAAAGTAAAAGATATTGTATTTTCATTAACATGCCAAACTTCAAATAAGACATTAAATCTGCTTTATTGGTGTTAAAAAGTAAAGATGTTATGATACTAAATTCTTCTAATACAATCTGATGCTGATAATTTTCCATCTGATCTTATCCAATACTTGCATCTATCCATACTCTCTACTTACAGGTGTAAGTTATAAATGAGCCTGAAAACTCATTGGTGTAAAAATATTCACTAATAATTTAAATTCAAATATAAAAAAAAATAAAATTTTACAAATTGACTTATGAGCACCTTTCAGATCCAGGCCCTAGTTTGCCTAGTGTTTAGAAAAAAATTCAAACACATCTTGAATAAATTTATAATAGTATAGAAAAATTGCCAGATTAAAAATAATCATTGTTAAATCTTGCTTGAATATATTGTCAAAACAGGAAAGATAAAAGCACATTTGTATTATTTACAATTATCCTTGTTGAATTTTTATGAACCGTAAAATTGATTCTGTGTGATAGGGAATAATTACCAGTCCTAGCAACATTTCTTGAACATTATCCATTCATTGCTACTACACATTACATGACTATCACTGGCAAATCATGCGATGAGGGGACACACTGTCTATCATGGGTTAGTTTCATAGCATGATATGTCCATTACTGTGTTCAAATGTCTGCCTTGGCAGAATGATGTGAAAGATGCATATTGAAAAAATTGAAGTATTGGTTTGCAAAACAAACTGATTCTGATATATTGGGAACATTCCAACATGCCAATATATCAGCAATGGCTTTCTTGGTAGTGGTACATCTCTATTAAAAAGTGAAACAAATGATCATTCTCAAATACTTTTAGAGTTTTTCAGTCTATCACAGAGAAATTCATAAAGCAGAATGTTTTAAAAACGAGATGGCCTGGGATGCCTCCTAGTGTGCGTTCTAGGCATTCCATGACAGATTATAGATATACAAACAGTTGGATTAACAGCTTATATATATGATGATTCGTTTGTTTTACATTTATATATAATGATTCGTTTGTTTTACTTATATATATGATGATTCGTTTGTTTTACATCTTTAGTCTCTCATCCTCTGATGAGAGACTAAAGATGTCTGAAAGTTCTTGGAAACTAATTCCAATAAAGTAGATTTCATATGTTAAAAATTACTATAATTTTAAAATCAAACTATGATTATAGAAAATAAGAAATAATCTATATTCAGCAATTTTGTCATAATATACAGTTATAATTAAACTATATTTGTACTATTAGAAAATGCTGTCATTTTGAATAAAATTATTACATTTAAAAACTTACAACTGGGTTGAATAGAAGTCTTTTGGTCCTTCATTCCTAATCAGAAAAATAAATTTCTAATTATTTTGTTTCATTGGACATTAAATAATTAATAATAGAAATAATTTTATCATAAAATTTGTATTTATTAAATTTAAAATATCTCATATATAACTATCAAACCAAAAAAATATTATTATTATTTCTTATACAACAAGTCTTCACTTAATATCATTTCATTATAATGTCATTGAGGAAAGATACAAGCACATTTGTAATTATTGAAATTTACAATTATCATTGTTGAATTTTTTTATGAATCATGAAGTTGATTCTATGAGGTGAGGAATAAATGCTGGAAGTTGCAAACACAATCAATTAGAATAATATTAATCAAATTATATCATGCTATGTCATCCAGAAATATGTTCAACGTTACATTTTACATGTAGAAGTTATTATTGATAATGAATAATTTCATTTCATTATATAATACAGTAACTCCAGTTTCCCAGGTTTTTCACAAATTTTATATTATAAACATTTAGGTCACAGAACCATTACAAATAAATATATTGGGTCATGTGAGAAAAAGTTTGAGAAATGCTGGTTTAGATTACTCATATATACAATACATACAGATAACTAAGACTGAATACTTATATTATCTTATCTAAAATTTATTTCATCATTATTTTATTATATGAGGAAACTGAATATTTCTAATATAAAATTAAAATAAAAAACATTTAAAGTTATATTACCTATTGATTCATCTAAATCAATAGCTGAATCAAAAACTGGATTTATAACCGTCTTATAGTCAAGTATAATACAATGTGCATCATTAAGATACTTTCGTCCTAATTTAAAGTGACTTAAATAATATACCTAAAAACAAACAAAAAAATTAGTATGTAAATTTTTTCATTATTCATTAAATCTAAACAAAATATTTAAAAATTTTCTAAATAATAAAAATTTCTCTATATTTGTAAATAATTATGAACTTCATAAAACTTTTTCATTTGTAATTAAAAGTAACTATTTTCTAGAATGACAATAATAAAAACAAAAATAATAAAAATAAGTAAAATTTCAATTGCAGTAATCGTTTTAAAGTTATATTTATATTTACAAAAATAGAATCAATAATTGTTGAAAATATCAGAGTTATGAAAAGCAATTTGTAATCTGTTGAAATTTGTCAAAGATTACTTTATTACTCATTGGAAAACAGATGATAAAATTTCATTCTGTTAAATTACTTTATAACTTATTGAAAATCCATTACCAATGATGAATGCATGTCCATGTTTTATGTGCATGTTATCAATTATTTTAAAGCAATTCTGAATAATTATTATCAAAGAAAACTTATCAATAATTTGCAACATGTAGTTTAGAAATATAGAATGTATTGTGTCTTAACTGTCATGAAAAAGAACAAGTCTATAGTTCCTTACAATTGTCTTGCACTTCTTTATGTAAGACACTGGGCAAACAAAGAATCAGGGTTCCTTTGTTAGCTGTTTTTATACTCCACACCTCAAGGCAATAGTGTTGCCAATGCATAAAAACTCTGAAGCAATGATGTGTGACCGGAGGGATGGCACCTGTTTGATGCCGTCAGGAATCACACCACAATCTCCCGATTGACAGGGAAACTGCGACGACAGATTGGTTTGGATTAGAAAGTAGGCCACATGAGCCACAGCTTGCAAGTGAGCAATTGGGTTTGGGATGGAGACCTCAAAATAGTGAGCAGAAAGTGACTACTGCAGAGACTAGGTTTATTTAACAAAAACCATTTATTTATAAAAGAAAATACATTTTATACATTTTTTATTGTTAAACGCATTATAATATATCACGTGTCATATTACCTCCATGGTTCTTGAGAGAGAGAGAGAGAATTTACATGAGATTTGCATGGTGATAAATACCTGTAGTTGAAGGTTGTAAACTTGATGCTGGAGACAGTGGTGATATTCAGCGGGTTCGCACAGGTTCGGCCGAACCCGTTGTTAACATTTCCAAAGTTTTCTGAACCCGTTGTTAAACACATGTAACATTTCTCAGTGATTTTGTTTCTTTTAAAAAATATATTAAAATATACGTATTATACTCTGTAACACTACTAAACTAGAGCCTTATACCCTGTTCGCCTAGTGCAACCTCCATCGACCGTTTCAATCTCAACTAAAACAAGGTTCAATCGCGATCGACTTGAGAGAGTTTTCAAAACTAGATCCAGTCATAAGAGAGATCCCATGCAAGAAAATACAAGATGGCTGCGGAGCACGTGTCAGGCTATCAACAGCAAAATAAGAAAGATATTGTATTTCGAGAGACGATGACATCTGTCTATTATTATAATAATACCTAACGATAAAATAAATGATTTAGAAAAGATTTTCTTGTTTAACTGCTTTCCCTATGACTTTTTCTGATTAAAAAAAAGCCAATTTTTATGTTTATAAAATATTTTAAATGAAAAATATTAAAATATGTACAAAATAAACCATTTTGAACACTCTTTTTT